CAACAGAGCTGTGAAAAACAGGAAAGCTTACAAAAACAGGCCTGGCTTCATAGCTTGTACCAAACTTGAAACTCTTTGCAAATGCATAGATATAACAGAAATATTAATTGAATTAGTTTGTAAGTTTATGTCCAACTCTGTGACATTGACACACTTAGACTGTGTTGCGTGAGAGTCCTAGAAATGTACTGAATATTGTAGTAACAGAGGAACAATCACTGTTCCACATTTAACACTCTCATTGTCAAAAATTACAAAAAGTGGGAAGAGAACCGGAAGCTGCAATGTGATGCAATAGTGAGGAAGCATTTTCCCAGAGCCACATAGCAGGTTGGTGGCAAGGCTGGAAATAGGAATTCAGTTGTATCAGTTCAGAACAATAGCTCACTCACTTTAAATATCTTTTAAATTATGCTCTCTGTCTTGGGAGCATCAGAAACACAAGAGACCACCAAAAAAAAAATAATGTACAGACACAGTTGTTGTGACTTGGTTATGGAAAAGAAATGCAAGGAACCGACCAGATATGGACATCACAGAAAATATGTGAAAGTATAACCTTTATCATGGAGAGATAACTGCACAACAACCTAGTCCATGATTTCTCCCATATTTTGTCTATCTGTGCTTTCTGCTTTTCTGTCATTGCTTATACAGAGACAATACAGGTTTTGTAACTGGCATCCTCTCGACCCGGCTGATCTCTAATAAAGGCCACATCTGAAGTACTACCTGCCTGTATATCAATGTCTGGTGGACTTTATGTAGATCATTTTCCCAGCAAGAGTCCTAGAATAGATCCAGCTATGCCCACTAAGCAATGCTTACTTTGTGTGAGGGACTGGTGTTGGCTGCACCAAGGAAGCAAGTACCCTGATGGAAAGTGTGACCATGTTAAGGGTATGCCTCTACTACAGACTAAAGTGTAAAGCAGAGCTATCTGAATGAAATGTAAATTAATATATTCAGGTAACAGAAACAGTTATGCCATGAAGCTCTGAGCTAATTTCTCTCAGGAGGCAAAATAGATGAGTACTCAGAAATTTGAAAATCCAGGCTTTTTCTCAGGTCCATTTCTTAAAGTCATTATCTGCCTTTCTTTCTGAAAGGTGTGTAACACTCTCAGATCTTCTTCCTACTTCTGTGGCACAGTTTTGGTCATAAACAGTTTGCAATATCGATGTCCTTTAGCAGCTGGATGGCTGCCTTTCCCCCAGGCATAAGTAACATGAAACTACCTGGTGGTTTTGGCCAAAACAGTTGAAACAGAAAAATGAAAAGATGATACAATAAAGGGAACCAAAGCCTTATTTCCTTGTAGTGAGTCACAAGAGGCCAATCACAGAGAGATGTTCTACATCCATTATAACAAAGCTGTTTTCCAGTTTATCATACTGAAATGATTAACCATTTTGCTACTGAACATTTGCAAAGCCAACAAAACATTAAGAGGCCTGTGGACCAAAAAAAAAAACCTTACAGTGCAGATTGGCATTTTATTGTTCACTGGAGACTTAAGTTTCCAAATTATTTAATGGCTTAGTAATGATGTTCAGGCATGTATGTAGTAAGGTACAGCCAGTGCTGGCTGCAGCCACCACTTATGTGGGAGAATGAATGCAGAGATGCATAGTTACATGGGCAGCCTGAGGCTGCTTGCCCCAGAGCTCACGTGGTGTTGGTGTCACTGGGAAAGAAGACAGAGATACTGTCCCCTTCACCTCCTTGGTAAATCTGCTCCGCTGTTTTGTAGCTGGCTGGAGCAACCTCTCAGGGTGGAGTGTGACAAAGTCAGACGATTAAAAGATACTTTAATTTTGCAAAGTAAACACCTATCAAAGTCATTTGCTTAGGAAAGCAAAGTCAGTCGGTCAAGAAGGGAAAAGCAAGTGCTTTGCTTTGGTTGCTTCTTCCTTTTTTTAATGCAGATGTAGTCTTTCTCAGTTAGGAGTAACTCTGGGTTGAAGACTGTCCGCACCCCATAAGCAAGCTATCATCTTGATTTATTTTGTAGGAAGGAATTTTGAAAACAGTTGTGAAAGCAAGAAGTTAATCTAATCTAGGGAACCACTTTCTTAAGTGTCCTCTCCCAGACCTGCTGGGGTGCTGCCAAATCTAAGGACGTTCACATTTTAAACTTTATCACCCATGTTCAGGAACTCATCAAAAGTCAAGAAGGGAAAAATCTGAAGTAATTGTCTATGCCATCCTCTAGCAATGTCAAGATTTTTCACTGTGCTGTACTTGCCTTTGCAGCAGAGGTTCCAATATTTCTCTTTGGATACCCACACTATTTCATCTAGTTCTCAGGAACTTTCTTGGGATGCTTAGATGCATTAGCATGTTGTTATTTTTATCCTCCCTGCTATTAATTATTCTCTTACAGACAAAGCTAAAAACCTGTCTTTTCTAGAACCATCTCTGTATTCTTCAAATATTTGTAAACCCAACCATACGGTTCTTTGGCAGCAGAAGAGTATACTTTTGATTTTAGTTTGGGAAGGAAAGATTATTTCACTTCTCAAATTTGACAGTTCCACATACCAAATCACATAACAGTTTATTGATTTTTTTTCTAGAAAATAAAATTACACAAATTATTACATATACGAAACCATCTCCTCTTAATGCTTCTGCTGTATTTCTGGGCATCTGGATTGAAAAAAAAATCATTTTATAAAACTTGTTCGGTTTAGAAGGAATTTTTTTCAGGTGATTTCTCTGTGTTTTTTACATGGACTCTCAAGGAGGTCTTCTGATCTGCCTCTCTCAAACTTACCAGAAGTGTTAATACTTTATTTATGGAATCACATTTGGTTTCTGCAATTCAAAAGCTAAGATACAGGAAGAGGGAAAATGGTAGTTGCAGGCAGCAAAGAGGTGATCTGCTCTTAAGAAACCCTGACCTTAGAAACATAGGACTGTTAGAAGTCCTAAAAGAAATGAGGAATGATTTCCCAGAACCACCATAAAAACAGAGACGCTTACCCAACTATTTCATTGCCTTTGCTTTGCTTCAAAGGACTACACGCTTGCTGACCAAAGTACTGGAAAGGCATGAGACAACATAGAAGGTATTGGTGTGGACCTGCGGATCAGAACTACGTCAGCTTATTCTTGGTGGATTTTTTATTACTTTCTTACTTAGGGTGTGGTCATGGATGATAAGCAGTTGGGGTTTTTCCCCCCCACACAAATCTATTCATAATCTTATGGCAAAACTTAAGAGATAAAGGACCCACCACTGTACGCAGTGGTGCAACCAGTGGCAGGGACTACAGAGAGGCATTGTGCAAAGCTGGAAGTGAAATGGCAGGGTAGAGAGGAAAATCTGAGAAATTGAGATTGTGCCACTTATTTTCAAATACACTTTGCAATGCATGGATAGTCTGTAAAAGCTATCTTTTCTTGTTATTGTTTTGTTATTATTGTGGCTTGAAAAACAAATTGGTATCATTCTGCTTCACATATAATTTTCAATTATAATAACCCTTACAACTTGAATGATGTGTTTTGTAGATCAAAAGGTTGGGTGAACTTCCGTACAGCTGGGATGAGAGGCCCAGAAAATCAAGTTACCCAAGACATTATAATGAGCTAATGGCAGGACTTTGGCTAATATGAATATTCCCTATTTCATGTTCTAAATGGTAACTGGAATAAAAATTCAAATTGTCCATTATGGTTGAAGCAGAATGGAAATCAAGCCCATCTTTTTTGGGAACTGGTGGCAAGATAAGTAATGATTTAAATAGTTTGTTGTTGTTAAGGTTGTAAAATATGCTCAAATCACAGGTGTACAGCCATACCAAAGTGCTAGATTTTACAGTCTCTTTTCTGCTTGTACTGAAGAACAGTGACTTGTGTAAAAGATGGGATCTGTATATCTATCAGAAGGAAAAGGCACAAATGCTAGCAGTGCTGTATCATATGCAGAACAAACCCATGGTGCAGCCGCAGACTATAATTTCATTTTGAGGAGCACTCTGATTCATTAGCCCAGTGGGAAGAAAATAGGAAGAACACCCTTTAATTTCTGAACTCTGAGAATTTATGCTCATTTTGGAAGACACCTTATTACCACTGCAGCTATCTCCTCCAGAAAGAGCTGGGATTGAAATAGCACAGTGTGATACAGGCTTCTGGGAAGTGTCTTGGCAGAGCCTGAAACTAGGAAAATAGCAGTCAAAGGTGCCACGTCCTGACAGAGGATGAGGACAGCTTCCACAATACAAGTCAAAAATATGTTTTTCCTTATCCTGACGTACATCCCTAGATCACAGCTTCTCTGAGAGATTTTTCAGAGATATCCAAGGACTGACAAACTCTTTCC